GTGCAGGAATCGGTTTATTTTCTTTGCCAGTCAAAGCATTAAAGGGGAGGAAAGAAGTGTTGATGGAAACCTTGGGGAGTCCCAGCAGAGCCGTCTTATGACACCTGGGAAATGGGGTTCCCTGTTGGGCCTCATTAATGAAAGAATTTCTGAGCAGACACTAACAGAAGCAGGAGGACAGTGTTTGAGTTTAAATGGAAAACGCTAGGGCATGTAGACTATAAGCCTCACAAGGGCCAGGGAGGGAGGAGGAGAGTAGTAAAGAAAAGGATCAAAGCCAGGCAGCTTGATATAAGGCTGCATGGAGGCCAGCCACCTGGCGGCAGGCATCCAGTGAGGGGGGGGAAGGGGGACTTTAAAAACTCAGTATGGAAGCCTAAGTGTTGACTGGGGAACTTAGAAAGCATCCTTAGGTTCTGGCCAGCATCTGAAAGAAGAGAAGAAAAAGAAATAGACCCAGCCAAACCTCAGGGTGGCCTGGACTCCGGGTACTGCACTAGAAGGTGGGAACTCTGGAAAGGAAAAGCACATGATCTTAAGGTGAACCCCCCTTCCTAGGGGTGTCCCCTAACCAGGCCCTTGGCCTGCCTCATTGGATTAACCCTTAAGGAGGTATGCTGGCTAGTCTTATGTCAACACGACACACAAACTAAATTTACCTAAAAGGTGGAAACCTCAATTAAGAAGATGCTTCCTAAGCTCCAGCTGTAAGGCATTTTCCTAATTAGGGATTGATGGGAGAGGGCCCAGCCCATTGAGGGTGGGCCAACAGTCCTGGTTTCTATAAAATAGGCTGCACAGCCTGTAAAGAGCATCCCTTCCTGGCCTCTGCATCAGCAAATGACTCCGGGTTCTTACCCTGTTTAAGCTCCTGTCCTGACTTCCTTCACTGATGAACAGCAATATGAAAGGGGAAGCCAAATAAACCTTCTCTCCCCAGCTTTCTCTTTTTGGTCATGGTATTTGGTCGAAGCTCTAGAAACCGTCACTAAGACACAGGTGGGGCAGGCCATCTGTCCCCGCCTAGTGGTGGATTCCATTCTTTACATCGTCTCTTCCTTCCTATCCATGGTCTGTGACAACCTTGCTAAACATAATTCAGATCATGCTACAGGCCTGTTTAAAAAGCATCAATTCTGGCTGGGGCGTGGCTCAGGGGGCAAAGGTGCTGGCAGAGGTTCCTCAGTTTGAACCACCAGAGCCTCATTAAAGACAACCACACAGTGCAAATGTCAGTCACCTCAGAGATCCCAAATAGACAAGGAAGTCCCTGGTAGCTTGAAGGCTAGCTAGCTTGGATGCTCAATTACAAATATATACACACACACAGAGAGCCTCTCTTAAACCAGTAGAAGGTGAGGACTGATGCCCCGGGTTGTCTTTTAACCTGCACGTGCAAGCTATGGCTCCTGTAAGTCCACATTCACATGTGAAGTTACACACACTGTGGATGTATATACACAAACACACACAGCTCCAACCCTTCCAATAACCTGTCAGGATCGGGTCTGGGCATGGTGCACAGCCCTGGCCGCCTGGCTGCTGCCTTCCTCATCTTCTTCCGCCTCTCAGCTTGGCTCCAGTCATTTGGAGCAGGATCTCGTGTAGCCCAGAATGCTCGAATTCACTCTGCAGCCAAGGAAGACGTTGAATTCCTGATCCTGCTGCCTCCACCTCTTTGGTGCTGGGATTTCCACACCTGGCCCTTTTCTTCCATTTTATAATTCACTGCAAATGCTGGGCCAGCTGAATAGACTGTGGCATGATTTTATTTCCTTGACTGCATTCTATAGTTTTCCCACAGAATCTGTTTTAAAGTCAAGAGCATATCCTCCACGATGCTGGCAGCTGTGAGAATCTAGCTACTTAACTGAGCAAATTTGCAGAAATGATATACTGGCATAAAAACTGACATTCGTGGGTTAGGAAGATGGCTCAGCTGTCAAAGTGTTGGCCTGGACAGCAGAAGACACACACACATGTTCACCCCATACTCCTGCCAACGCACATTCATGTGTGTGCGCGCACACACACACACACACACACGCACACACACGCACACACACACACGCACACACACACACGCACACGCACACACACACACGCACACACACACACGCACACACACACACGCACACACACGCACACACACACACACACACACACACGCACACACACGCACACACACACACACACGCACACACACAAAGGGAAAATATGCTTTGCCATTCATATCTACATGCCACACAATTCTCACATTGTTATTTTTATCTGTTTGTTTATTTTTTCTTTTACTAGATAGGTTTCTCTGTGTAGCCCTGGCTTTCCTGGATTTGCCTGCCTCTGCCTCCTGAGTGCTGAGAGTAAAGATGCATATGTCTCTGGTAATAATCCATTTCTTGTCTGGAATTTGTACCCTTCTCAGTTGACAGTCTCGGCACAGTTTAGCATTTTGTACAACATGGTTCCTGCAAACACAGAAGGAAGAGGTCTAAGGTGTCCAGGAACCAGATTTGTAAATAAATTCAAAGCATGTAGTCTTACTTATTATTTTTAAATCTTATTATTTTAAATCTAATTATTTTAAAATCTAATTATTTTAAATCTTATTATGTTTAAAATGATGCCACAGCAAATATTATATGAAAGAGTTCATTCAGGGGAAGGGAAGCAGAAGAGAGTTAGGGCCTGAGTGAGGCCATGAGGTCAGGGACAGAGAGACAGAGACAGACAGAAGGACAGAAATGGGAGGAGGGGAGGCATCCCTACAGAGAAAAGGGGAGAGAGCAGGAGAGGAGCAAGAGAGGAAGAAGAGAGAGACAAAGTGGCAGGTTGGTCCTTTTTATATCGCGTGCACAGCTGAACTTCATCTGCCGCACACCTGGCAGGCAACGCACGATGATATCATAGGCTATTAGGCAACCCAAAAGCAGACTTCCTTGACACTAACAACGTACAGTCGTTAATATAAGCTGCATGTGGTGGTCCATGCCTGTCATCCCAGGACTGAGGAGGTAGAGGTGCTAAACCTGAAAACTGCAAGAAGAGAGGCCAAATCTACGGCTGTCCAATTAAAGCAAGCTTGATTAAATTCCGTGGAGGAAGATGGACACTGGCCAGGTCCATACCCGGCACTCCCAGAGAATGATGCTGAATTATTTTAGTCAGGTGCTCATGAAGGTTGAACCCATGAGGCTGTGGCACTTAACCATCATCCAGTTGGGCAAGCATGCATCCAGGCATCTATCCTGTGCAGCTGGGGCAACCAGCCTTGTTTACCGAAGTGGAAACAGGTAACTTGTTGTTTTACATGAACAGCAGAACAACGAGAGACCAAAGGATTAAAAATCAGTGGCTATTATTTTAAAGCCCCTAGCTGTTCCAGGAAGTTATCTGTCATTGGACAAGTGGAGTTTACAGGTTTATCTGTTCTTGGGCAAGTCAGGCTTACAGGTTAACTTTAGTTCTTACAGAGGAAGAAGAATCAGAAGTTCAGGGTCAACTCCCTTCTCAAATGCAAGACCAGCCTGGGCAACCTGAGATCCTACGTCAAAACACAGAACAAACAAAAGGCCTCCGTTTTGTTAGTGAACACAGAACTTCAGTTTGGCCTTGTGGTTTACAGCTAGCAGTCTTTCTGATATTCACCATGCAGCTGTAGCCAGGAGAAAGACTGATTTCTGAGTAATGTTCCAAAGCTGGGTCACAGAGCCAGATCTGTTACCCAGGGCCTACTGCTGTCTATAATTCCCTTTGGTGTCTGCAGCAGAACCTGAACAGTCAAGGACCCCTGCAGGTCTGTTTTCATTTGTTTTGAGGTCACAACAAAATGAATTTCCTGCTTATCCCAAAGCACAACCCAGATCTGGTAAGCGAGTCCCATTCCACACAGTCTTCCAGGCCTAGCATTTTGGTTTTTTAAGGAGCACTTTTTTGTTTCAGTCGGCACATAATAGTTGTGTTTGTCCATGGAGTACATTTTGATGAGTTTTACAGAGTCCTTGGTATGTCCATCACTGGAAATATTTATCACTTCCTTATGAAGATTGTCGGAGTTGCTCTGTGCTAACTCTTTGGAAATGTGGGTTTCATTCTTGGGACCCAGTTGATCTTCCCTTAAGCCTGGAAGGAACAGCTCCTTGGGCAGTGCAGCTTCCCTTAGCTCTGGGGAACTAGATTTGTACCTTGTGTCTCCCTTAGGAGGACACGGAGGTTCCCTTTACAGAAGAGGATTATCGAAGAAGAAAGCCTCACCCCAACTTTCTGGATCACATCAATGCTGAAAAAATAGTTCTCAAGTTGGGAAAAAATGTAAGTCTGGACACAAAGATCATCGGGGGTGGGGGTGGGGATGGTTCTTTGTGAGGGGGTATACCTGGGCAACTTTGTCCTCTGCATACTCAGCCCTGATCCCTTTACCAGGCTGTTTTTGCATGTCCAGGACACATCACCACAATGTTGTAAACACCATGGTTTAGTTCCTCAGACATCTCCACAGGTGTCAGCTTTAGTTTAAGCAAATTCTATCCTTAGAGATGCCCTGGCCCAGATTATAATCCAGCCCGCCCACCTGAAGGCTCTATGTTGGGCCCCTAGCTAAACTCAGGTTCTCTCCCATCAAGGGGTCTAGGCAAATAACTCAGTTGGAATATGAAGGAAGAAACCTCATGTTCTTGGTTCTTAGAATCCCTCTCAATGTTTTTCTTCAAATAGCTCTGAAAAGTGCAATGCCCTTTTTACAAAATAAAAGACAAACCAGGTGATGGTGGTGCACACCTTTAATCCCAGCATTTGGGAGGCAGAGGCAGGAGGATCTCATAAATTAGAGACCAGTCTGATCTACAGAGTGAATTCCTGGACAGCTAGGACTATACCAAGAAAACTTGTCTTGAAACCAGGCAAACCAACAATAAATAGAGGTCTACAGGAGTTAATCTGTTCAGGATCACACAGCCAGGTGTGGCCAGGCATTGCTGTGGGCATGCCTGAGCATGTCTGGCTGCTTCTTGGGCAGTCCCGTGCCCTGTGCACGTGGCTGTCTTCATTTCGTAGCTGTGGCACCACAGAAAAAGGAGTAGGAAATCCATTCAATCCAAAACATATCAGACACCAGAAACTGGGGAGGAGGTAACATCTTTTTTCCTGACTCTAACTCCATCATTCAATAAGATTATCTTGACACAGCTGATTGTTAAGACATATCTAAGCTGGATCCAGTGGCCCATGTCTGCTACTCCAATGTTCAGGGCCAGCCTGGGCTACATCACAACATACTTTCTGAACAAAACAACAACAATGAAGCTGGTACCTGCAGGTGCTCACCTGTACTCAGTTTTCTGGGGAGACCAAGGCAGGAAGAACACAAGTTCAAAGGCTGTCTGTGCTACAAGGAGTTCAAGACCAGTTTGGCAACTTAGCAAGACTGTCCAGAGCAGGGGCTGATGGGGTGTGCTGAAGAGATGATGGCTCAGTGGTTAAGAGCAGGGACCCAAGTTTAGTTCGTGGCACCCACATGGAAGCCCAAGATCCAGGGGTCTGATGCCTCTGGCATCTTAAGACACCTGGACTCATATGCACCCCCCCCCCATAATTAAAAACAAATCTTCTAAAAAGGGGGGGGGCAGCATGTAGGTCTGGGATAGAATTCAACGGCAGAGCGCTCGCCTGGCACGAACAAGTCTCCAGCACCACCACCATAAAAATACATAAATAAATAAAGCAAACTACTGTTGCAGCAAAACATGTTCTTTGGCATGTATGATAACTTCATCTTTTGCTAAAATAGAAGACGCAAGTGTCCTTAATGAGTAAATAGTGACTGAAAAGCAATTCAGGGCTTGCTGACCTGCCTGCCCCTGCCCCGCAAGGTGCTGAGCAGTTCGCCTGTGGTGTTCCACGCTAACCTCCAGACCCTCAGCTGTCCTCTTTAGAATTCTGTGAGGCCGCTGCTGCCATCATCCCATTCAATTTACACAGACTCCCAAAACCATGGCACCATCGCATTAAAAAAAAAAAAAAAAGTGGCCGACAGCTCTGAGGCGCCACCTTGTGGTGTCATAAGATATAACAACAGGGATTCCAGACCAATTCTGTCCCTGAAGAACCTGTGGACATGAATACAGTACAAGCACCGTGAGCATGAAAGAGTTACAAAAAAAAAAAAAAAAAAAAAAAACCCAACAGCTAGCAGGGATGGTGGCTCACACCTACAATTCTAGCACTCAGAAGGCTGAGGCAGGAGGATGGTGCATTCAGGGCTAGTCTGAGCTACATAGTGAAACCCCTGAGTCGGAAAGAAGCAAGCCCAAGCCTTGCCTTTAATCCAGCCCTGGGGAGTGCTGAGGCAGGAGCATCTCTGTAAGTCTGAGGTGCTGATCCCAGCCTGATCTACATAGCAAGTTCCAGGCCAGCCAGGAATACATAGTGGGAGACGAAGCCTCAAAGCAACAACAACAAAATACCAGACAAACAGAGTAGAAGAGAATTAGAAATTCAAGTTCAACTTTGGGAGCAAGAGGGATGCTGGGGCCTTCAAGCCCTTACACGTGTCTGCTCAACGAGACATAGCCCCAGAGGCAACATAAAAGGAGTGCATCAGCTTAGTAAATGTCTTCCGGCTCCTTATTCTGCTAATTTGTTAACACTTACACCCTGCTGATCACGCACATGACTCACTCACTAAATGAGACTGTTCTAAAGAAGGACCATAGCGTCTTTTCACACCTTTGCTTAAATAGGTTGTTATTTGTAAAGCAGCACCTTTATCATACAAATATACTAACACTTCCTTAACTCTAAATGATACAATTTTATTGTGAGATCTTTTCAAATATTTTTACTCTATGTGTGTGAGTTTTGCCTCTATGTCTGTATATGTGCTATGTGTCTGTGTGTGTCTGCATCTTCCAGAAGAGGGGCAGATCTCCTGGAACTGCAATTAAAGGTGGTTGAGAGCTGCCATGTAGGTGCCGGGAAACCAGGTCCTTTGCAAGAGCAATAAGTGCTCTTATAACTAAGCCATCTCCTCAGTCCCATAAAATCTACTTTTTGTTTTTCTGTTTGGAGCCATCTCTCACTAGGTAGGCCAGCTGTCCTGGAACTCAATATGTAATCCAGGCTAGCCTTGAACTGAGGGCTCTGCCTGCCTGTGATTGCTAAAATTAAAGGTGTTTGCCACTGTGCATGGGCACAGTCTGTTTGTTTGTTTTTAAGACAGAGTTTTGCTATGTAGACCAGTTGTTTCAGATTTGCTTAACCTTTTAAACTCTTACATTACAAGGCCCAACTCAAAAAAAAATGTATTCTTTTGCCTATAAATTTCTGTCTTAGTCAATGTTCTTTTGCTATATGAGACACCATAACCACAGCAACTCACATAAAAAAAAAATATTTATCTGGGTCTGAGTTACAGTTCAGAGACTTTAGTCTGTTGTCAGCATGATGGGAAGCATGGCAGCATGCAGGCTGCCATGGTGCTGGAGAAGGAGCTGGGAGCTCTTTGTCCAGATCCACAGGGACCAGGAAGGAGAGAGACACTGGGCCTTGTGTGGGCTTGTGACCCCCAGGGACACACTTTCCCCAGTAAGGCCACAGCTCCTAGTCCTTTCAAAGAGTGCCACGCCTACGCCTACGAGCCTATCAGGATCACTTTCATTCAAAGTACTGCACCTTCTTCCCGCTCTCTTTGCCTCCTTCCCCCCTCCCTCCCTCTTCTGTCTTCCCCTCTGTCCTCTTTCCTCTCTCCCTTTCTCCTCCCTGGTGCTCAGCCCCACACCCAGAGCCTCTGTACCAAGAAAGCACTTTATTACTGTTCTTTACCCAGCCTACTCGTTTGTTTGTTTGTTTGTTTGTTTGTTTGTTTGTTTCTCCTTATGAGGCAAGGTTTCTCTGTGTAGCCTTGGCTGTCCTGGAACTCACTCTGTAGACCTAGCTGGCCTTGAACTCTGCCTGCCTCTTGCCTTTCAAGTGCTACCACTGCCCAGCTAATTGTAGATGAAGACATATCTCAGTAACTTTCAGAGCTCACCGATATGGTTAGTCTCACTAGTCAGGTGCTCTACCTTCATTTGAAGGAAGTTATAATTAAGGTAGGGCCACCATGCCCATCTAGCACCAATGTGATTTTGGGAATCCCGACTCTGATCCTCTTGCTTGCCTGACAAAAGCTTAATTATTGAACTACCTCCCCAATCATGAATAGTTTCAAATATAACTGGAACCATTTCTTCGTTGAGTCCAGGGCAGAGTAAATGAGCAAAGCATTTCTCAACTCTATCTCTCACACACACACACACACACACACACACACACCCGTGCTTGAGATGTTTGTCCTGTTTCATGCCCTTTGCTGCTTATCTCCCGCTCTGCTCACATGCCTCAGCCACATATAAAAGAAACTTTTATTTGCCTGTTTCAGTTGTTATCTCAGAGGCTTACTGCCTCCTTCTACTAACCTAGGCCTGTTCCTGAAAGCTTTTAGCCTCCTTATAATCTAACCTAGGCCTAGAATGTTTTCAGCCTCTAAGACCTACTGCTTAATAAGCTCACCCTTTCTTGTTCTTACTGAGCTCTGGGTTGGCTGGTTCAACTCAGCTGTTCTGGCTCAAACTCCTCTCCCAGCTGACTTATTTAATCTGGCTTCTCTCTCAGCCCCTGAATTGTTCTTCTTGGCCTCAAACTAATTCCAGTAAACTGTTCTAATCTTCTGGATCCTTTTCATTCTGTGGCTCATTCTGCCTTCAACTTCTCTCTGTAAAATTCTCCCAGTAAACCTGTTTCCCCTCTCTTCTTATTCTCTGTGTTGCTCCCTAAGTAGCTTCCCTTTCTTCTTTTTTCTCATGAGATTTGGACATATTATATTCTGTCAGATCTTTTTCTGATTTGTCACTTTTTCTGCCACTTTCAAACAAGGGTGCTTTCTTCTACAAACTAACTTTACTTTGACTGTTTGGGATTAAAGGTGTGTACCACCACGCCTAGACCTAAGCTTTTCTTTGCCTGAAACTTGCTCTATACCAGGCTGACCTTGAACTCAGATCTGCTTGCCTCTGTCCTCTGGATTAAAGGCATGTTTGTATTCCAGCTGGATCACACAGGCCTAGAAGGTCTTTGCATGTGATCTCTTGTCAGAGCAGCCATGCTCTGAATTAAAATTCCTCTACAACTTATCCCTTCCTGTTTAAGCTAAATTTTGCACACAATTTAACTTTTTGAAATAGAAACAATTATCAAACCCGGCTCAAGCCTCCTCTTTAATCTCACTAGTTTCTGTCTGGAAAGCCGCTGTGAACTGGTCCAGCAAAGGCTGGGCAGGTCTGCAGGATGACCTTTAGGAAGTCTGCTGGAGTCACATTGCTAGTTATGGTTGTGAGAAGCTCGAGGACTGAGTCTTGTTTATTCACTCACTGGTCCACGTACAGAGCAATGTGGCTCAGTTACAGCTTGTGTCAGCCACCATTCCATTACTGCAACAAAACAGCCAGGATTATAAACTTATAAACAGGAGAAGTTCATTGTGTCTCTTGCTGTTCAGAGGTTTCAGTCCAGACTGACCAGCCCTGTTGTTTTGAGACTGTGGCAGCACAGTGCAATAGGACATCTTGGCAAGAGCATATAGCACAAGGACTTGTTCACTTCGTGGCTGAGTGTGAAAGAGAAAGGGGGAGAGACAGGCCTGCAATACCCTTTTAAGGGAAAACCTTCCATGGCCTCATACCTGCTACTCTGTGCTTTATAAAGTCTCTATTATCTGCCCTTACTTCCACCCTGGTACCAAGCCTTAGGAAGACATTCTAGAACTATCCTACAGCACAGTGACCTCAGTCCTCCCCAGAAGTCCCACTTGCTGGGCCGGCAAGATGGCTCAGCAGGAAAGAGTGCTTCTGTGGAACCTTGAAAATCTGGGTTTGAGTCCTGCGACTCACATAAAAAAACAGGATGTGATGGTACATATCTGTAACTCCAGCACTCCTGCTGTGAGATGGGAAGAAAGACAGGAGAATTGCCTGGAACTTTTAGGTCAGCTAGCCTGGAATAAGAGACAGCTAGCCTGGAGTATGAGACAGCTAGCCTGGAGTATGAGACAGCTAGCCTGAAGTAAGAACCAAGGCAGGAACAGGAGAGACTGTGCCTCAAAACCAGGTGGAAGGTGAGAACCAACTTGAGCTGATCTCTGCTTTCCACTTGTGTGCTAAGATATATGGGTGCCCAGTGGTGGAGCATTTGCATTACACACACATAGGGGCCTGAGTTCCAATCCAGCACAACAACAACAATAAAACAGTGTTCCACCTCACCAACCTCACTGGTTCAGTTGGATGATGGATTACTGGAAGAGAGCTCTCTCTCCCTTCCTCCCTCTTTTTCACTCCCTCCCTCTCTTTCTCTCTCCCCTTTCCATCTCTTCTCTCTCCTTCCCTCCTTGAGAATTCATATACTAGTACTCGAGAGCACATACACACACACACACACACACACACACACACACACGCACACACACACACGAATCTCTATCAAATGAGAATAAATTCCCAGAATGATTAAACAAAGACTTAGGCAATCCTGCTCTAGGTTGGGCACACTGGCAGTCTGTGAATGAAAGCTTCAGTAGGGTCAGGGGACCAGTTCTGATGACTGAGCACTTTCCCAGAATGCTTGAGGACCTGAGGTCCATCCCCACCTCTGGAAAGAAATGTTAGGAAACTGAAAGAAACCTTCCAGAAGTCCCTGCACCTTTTGTACTTGGACTTCAAGTCAGCAATCCAGAAAAGAGTCACACCAACCATTCATTGCACAAGGCTCTCTGCGCTTTGAAATTTTTGTTTTGTGTTGATTTTCATTGCTTTGCTGATACACCCAGACTGGCATGTCCACTTCATACCAAGTAATCCTTGGCCCAAGTAATCCTTGACCTTGGCCTCCAGAGCAGCTTCTTCGGGCACGTGCCACTAAGCCCAGCTTGGTCACATTAAGCATCATCAAGGCCACCATGACTTCTCCTCTGGGCAAAGTGAAGCGTCCATGTCAATCAAAGTCCTTGTTTTGATACCTGGTACAGGGTCTGGGGCCATGGCTCAGCTGGTAGAGTACTTGCCCAAGGTGCATGAAGCCTTTGGTTTGCTCCTCAGCACCACACAAGCTGGGGGCAATGTACACAGCTGTAATCCCAGCACTCACGGAGTTGAGGTCCGCAACGACATAATGCGTGCGAGGCCAGCCTGGGCTACATGAGACCCTATTTCAAAACCAAGCAAAAACTCTACCTGGTCCTGAGCTTCACAGTCACATGACCACTTAGATAACTGAAGATCCTTCTAGAAGGACCTGTTTTCACAGCTCCCCAACCCCTCAGTGCTAGCATAGAGTTCACAAACAAACGTTCCACAAATAACAGCTCTGACTTAATTTATTATCCATCCCCACTGTGTTTCAATGGTGGCTGGAAGCGTGTCTGAATTGCTTCCTAAGGAACCCTTTCTCTGTCAAAGCAGTACCTGAGGAGCCCAGAAGACGAACAGCGCCCGCAACAGTGCCCTTTTTAATTCCTAAGTCTACTTCAAGATGACTAATACTTTATCAAATGTCTTTCTTTTTTATTTTATCCACTTTAGCCCAAAAAGTTTGCAACTTATGTCATCGCTTCTGGACTTCAGTATGGAATGGAAGGAGGCATCTTGCACACCTTTTTTAAGGTCTGTTTTTATTTTTTTAGAGATTTATTTATTTATTATGTATATAATTTCTGCCTGCATATATGCCTGCACACCAGAAGAGGGCATCAGATCCTTGTATAAATGGTTGGGAGCCACCACATGTGGGTGCTGGGAATTGAACTTAGGACCTTCTGGAGAGCAGCCAGTGCTCTTAACCTCTGAGCCATCTCTCCAGCCCAGATCTGGTCTTTTCAAAGTGAACATGTTGGGGTTTTTTTGTTTGTTTGTTTGTTTTGCTTTTTTTTTTTTTCTTAATTCTTAATTTAATTTCACTTTCAAGTTAGCTTACAAAGTAACGGGTTCCCCATCTCATATCCCTGCCTTCATCCTCACTCAGGACCTAAGACTATGTGAATTCCTTGTTGTTTATTTCATTTATGATGTATGTGTGTATAATGTGTGTTGGGGCCTGCACCTACCTCGGCTACAGTAAAGGGGTCAGAGGCCATCCCTGTGGGGTCACTGTGTGGCGAGTGGTCAGTCAGCCCACTGTGTGTATTTTTAAGTGTTTTACACGGCAGGAGTGGCACCATGTAGCTACCCATGAGAGGACTCAGCAGGCTGAGGGCAGGGGGATAATGTAAAACCCTGTCTCAGGAAAGAGAGAGAAAGGAGAGGGGAGGGGAGAGAAGGGGGGGAGGGCAGGAAGGAAAAGGTTGGGTTCAGCCCACAGTAGGTGGTGGAAGGGGAGAACCAGTTCCCACACACTGTCTCCGACTTCCACGTGCATACTTTGGCACACATGGTTTTACACACACACAATCAAAAATGTAAAATGTAAGGAGAAAGTTCATAAGCACATCTGGCTGTATTTTCACAAATTTAATAACAGGTGAAAAGTTAGGAAAAAAAGTCTGATACGCTCATGGAGACCCTCAGCATAAGGAAAGCCGCTGTTGGTGGGGAGGCAACTCCCTCACCTGGAGAGTTAACATGGGAAAAGGAAGAGGATCAAGAATGAGGTCTTCTGGGGGCTGGAGAGTTGGCTCAGAGGTTAAGAGCACTGGCTGCTCTTCCAGAGGTCCGGAGTCCAATTCCCAGCAACCACATGGTGGCTCGCAACCAGCTATAGTGCCCTCTTCTGGCACACAGGTGTTCATGCAGACAGAACATTGTATAGACAATAAATAAATAAATCTTAAAAAAAAAAAAAAAAAAAGAATGAGGTCTTCATCAGTATCCAAGTGTGTTTCCTAGTAAGGGGAACAGGGACTACTTCTGACATGAACTAATTGGTGGGCTCTTTGACCAACCCCCCACCCCCACCCCCACCCCACCCCTGAGGCAGGAACAGCCAACTACTAGATCTTACTGAATGATATATATTGCAGATCATTCAGTAAGATCTAGTAGTTGGCAACTATGTTTTTATGGGACTGGTAAAAACGAAGGTCTGAAAGAAGGGGATCCAAGAGGCTAAGCATACTGGCACTTCTGGAGCCCTCCGACTGACTGGGATGTGGGCTTCAAGAGAGAAACACAAGCCAGGGCAAACCCTCTCTGTTCATCTCTCCTTCAGATGGCTTGGCTGGGCGAGATTCCTGCATTACCTGTTTTTGGGGATGGATCCAATACCATTCCGGCCATTCACGTTTTTGATCTAGCAGGGTAAGAGGTCTTTGAGAAGCATAACTGTCCTGGATGATTAATACATGTAATTAATCTTCAGAGTCACTATCATAACACTCTCACACCTATCGTTTCAGCCACAGAGAAGGCACTTAGCACTGCCATTTTGTATCTGATGAAACATTATCCACCCAAAGCCTCCACCCTTCTGATCACAAGTGTAGCTCCATCTCTTGTCAGCTGAAGAGACAGCTCTGGGAAAGAACGGGTATGGGGTGCACCTTCTGAGCAACCCATTTCTTCTCCCCTTTGTCTCAGATAAGAGGGTGTCGATGGGTGTCATGCCCACTGGCAAAGTTCTGGAAACCATTTGGGGAGCTAGCTGCAAACTTGAAGCTTCCCCTCCACCCACTTTGCAGCAGGGTCTTCCTGTGTAGCTCAGCCCACCCCAAGCCAACCCCCACCTCCCCCCAGTGTGCAGAATTCAAATCCTATACAAATCCTATAAGGAAATAAAATAGTTTATACTAACACCATGGCCTGTGAACACAGTCCAGTTCCCTTAAGGGAAGGGCTGGGCAGGGGAGGCAGTCCCAGATTTCCACAGCCTCATAACAAAGCAATCATAAAGTCATACATTCAGTCAGCACACTGTCAGACAGGTGACAGGAATATTGCAGAATCTACAAAGAGCAGATGCTATGGTACAGCTTTGCTTTTGTTTTAGGTTTGGAGAAGGCTAGAGATCAGCCAAGCTTGACAACACATTCCATTCCAGGAGGTTTACCTAATAGACACGAGGATGTTAGGGTATGGAGGTCAAAAGCAAATGGTTGTTTTTCTCCAAAGGGCTTGCAGAAACTCTTGACTTGCAACATTCTAACCCTCAACCAGCCCACACGGTGCTCTCTGCCCTGGGGGACAAGTCGGCAGGCTCGCAACAGAGATGTGGCTTCTCCTGAGTCTTGAGTCTCACCCTTGGCCTGAATTTTCCATACTCTCCAAGCCTCTCCACCCAGCCCTGACAGATCCTGACCCTAGTGACAGGGCGGGTATCGGTTCACTGTTGTCGGAGAACCAGCTGTGGTCCAACAGCCAGGGCTTTCCTGTGCCCTACAGGCTGGGCTGCAAGGGGCTGGCTCCAGAGTCCCAGATGTTCCCCACCCATGGGTGGAAATCATTCCAGATCCCAGAGAGAGTCACATAGGTTGAGCTTCAGGGTCACAACTTTGTGGGTCCCTCCAAGCCCTGAACCTAAGTGATTTCTATTATTATTAGAGAGCAGAGTATCCAAAATAGTATAAATTCCAGACTTCACAACACTGGCCCATCTGGTGGTACACATGTGATCCCAGGAGGAGGAGATCTAGACCAGGCGGGGCTACATAGCAAGTTCAGGACTAACCTGGGCTAAACAGCAATATCTTCCTTCTCTCTCTCCCCCTCTCTCTCCCTCTCTCTCCCTCTCTCTCCAGGGTTTCTCTGTGTAACCTTGACTGTCCTGGACTCACTTTGTAGACCGGGCTGGCCTTGAACTCACAGCAATCCACCTGCCTCTGCCTCCTTGAGTTCTGGGTGCACCACCGCACCTGGCATGCAATATCCTCTTATTCCAGCCCCCTCCCTGAAAAAAAACAAAAAAACAAAAACCTAGTTATGCTGCCAGGTTTTAAAGACTGAAGATGCTTACCCTTTGATCTAGGGTTGGTCACAGGCTAGCCCTGGATAAAACGTCTGCGCCTTAGACTCCCTAATGTTTTGTGTACCACACCCAGCCCAGTCTTTTACAATCTTAGGACCAAATACTCCACCAGCATGCCAGAAGAGGGCACCAGATCTCACTATAGATAGTTGTGAGCCACCATGTGGTTGCTGGGAATTGACTTCAGGACCTATGTTTTTCTTTGTAAAGCTAAAGGACTATTTCATTTGCCTTTAAAAAAAAAAAATACCCCAGGGCAGACAGGCAAGCTGTAGATCTCAGCAACTGCACAGAGGAGGGGAGAAAATGGAGGAGAGGAAATGAAGGGAAGGAGGAAAGGGGAAGAGGAAAGGAGAGAAAATGGAAGGGAGCAGGGGAGGAGAGGAAATGGAGGTGAGGAGGGAAGAAGGTGGGTGAGACCTGTGTACTTGAGTCACACCAGTCCTTAATATCTTACTTATAAACAGATCTGTTACAGGATGATCTTTCTTTCTTTCTTTCTTTCTTTCTTTCTTTCTTTCTTTCTTTCTTTCTTTCTCTATTTTACATTATGGAAGGACTTAGGGCCCTTTTCAGTTACATTCTTTTTTTCTTCCTGTAGATTTATTTGAAGACTCTGAATTATTTAGCAAAGAAAGGCAAGCTAAAAGCTAAAATCCTCTGAGACATTAATAGAAAATGGATGTGAAATGAACATTTATTATTATTGCTTCTTTTTTTAGTATCCAGTACCGGAGATAGGATCCAGGACTAGGCATGAGCTAGATGTGCACTCTACTGTGAGCTAAATGAACATTTAGATGTACACATTTTAATTTCACTTTACTGAGAAGGAAGCTAAAATGAGGCTAGAGCTGACACACCCTGATAGCAGATTTCAAACCCATGTTGTTTCTAGAAATCTATAGATCTGCTTAAACCCCTGCTTTGCCTCTCAGCTAAAGTTCTCCCTGTAAAATGGGTACAGTCACAGCAGCTGATGGGGTGTTTTGAGGATTCGCTTTCACTCTCTGATTCAGGTCACCTCTGCATGACTTCTTTAAGACAGCCATCAAGCCTGGTATGGTGGTGCACGCCTTTAATCCCAGCACTCAGGGAGGCAGAGGCAGTCAAATCACTGGTCTACAAAGTGAGTCCAGGACAGCCAAGGCTACACAGAAAACCTGGCCTTAAAAAAAAAAAAAAAAAAAAAAAACAGCCACCATATCTTGAATCTGTGTCTCACATTGCAAATCACTGACCCCAAGCACAGTTGTGAGAGTCATGTGAGACACTGGGTAGACAAGCCTTCCTCACGTGAGGAACTCAGGTCCTGGAGTTTCGTGGTGAGGATTTTGTAACTTTGGTTTCTTTAAGCAACACAGAAATGTTTTCTTTCTAATCCCAGGTCTGGGATATGGAGCTGCTTCTCATTGTCTATGATTTACCTCGTGCTCTGGCAGGGGCAAGGTTTTGCCAGCTGCAGATAGTTTCTGCAAGTGTGTGATGTTTGGAATTCTGGGAATTTCTCAGAGGATATATAAATGCTAGAGCCCCGATTTGGGGGGAGGGGGAACTAGTTGGTGGTTAAATACAATTCTGTTAGTTTTTATTTGTCAAGCAGTCCCATGCAAATAAATGAGAAGAAGAAATTAGATATCCTGACAGTGAAGTCAAACTTGCCCCAAGGAACTTAACGCCCCCAGTCAGCAGGAAGTAGTCTAATGATATCAACACCCCCTTTCTCCTCTATCCCTTTTTCTCTCCTATCTGGTGTTACAGGGTTGATAGAAAAGAAGGAAAGTGGTGGAGAAGGGTGGAAGAGAAAAGAACCCATGAAGTAGCAAATGCAGGCACAGAGTTGGGGTGATATACTTAAAAGAAACCTGGGTAGGTGCTGGAAAGATGGCTCAGTGGCTAATAGCACTGTCTGCTCTTCCATAGGACCCAGGTTCAATTGCCAGCACCCACAGGGCAGCTCACAACTGTCTGTAACTCCAGTTCCAAGGGATCTGACAACTTCACACTAATGCACATAAAATAAAATTAAATAAACTGTAAAAAGAAACCATAGTGTATCTTGGCTAATGGTCCTGTATGGTAGTTACTGAGGAGACTGAAGCAGGAGAATCAAACATTCAGGGCCTTCCTGGGCTACAGAGCAAGTATAAAGCTAGCCTGGGCAATTGAGTGAGATCCTGTCTCAAAATAAAAAGTAGAAAAAGTAGGTCATAGCAGGTCAGTGGTAGCATATCTGCCTAGCATATGCAGGGCCTTGAGTTCAACTGACAGAATGATAATGATAACAACAACAATAAGATAAAAAATGAAACAAAGAAATGGAAAAATATGGGAGAAAGAAAACAGGCTTGGGTTCCAAAGGTATCTGTTTTTAGACCTGGTGCTTTCCCAGTTCTTCAGTCTGGGACCTATCTCCTAATGCGTTAATACTCCCTTCATCTGTAGACTGCAGATAATAGTCCTGTCCCAGTCTTAGCGGACATTAATTGATGCCACTCATCAAAGTACCCAGCACTTGCCTGATTTGTGGGAGTTGAGGTCCGTTAATCTCGTTGTCTTTTCCTGTCTGATTATTGTGCCTGCTGGTCTACAGCGTGATCCAGAATGTCATAGACCACGTGCCCAAGCTTCACTACCTGGTGGCTGTGGACGAGTCTGTCCACACCCTGGAAGACTTGGTCAAGGTATGGCAGTCTGTATCCTCATACTCTTGACAGGCTAGCTTGAGTAGCTGTATCCCTTAAACGATAGTTACTGACTTCTGTGCTGACAGGGCTTGGGAACACATAAAATAAAGTGTCCTTGAATGTCAAACTGACTATCTGTAACTGCAGCCTAAGTGTTGGGAAATTACTACACAAATGACATTTGTCCAGTGTGCGTGTGTAAGAAAACAAGAATGGTCCTGGGGGAGGGAATGAAGGCCATCACAGATGACAGGCTGGAATCTGTGACGTTTGGCCCGCGGGACAGAGACATGGTCACTAAACCCACAGACACCTCTAGGCTCTCTAGACAAGGGTCAGACAGCTTCAGATAGCGCAGCCACCTCCCAGCCCAGCTGGCCCAGCTGCTGTGGCTTCCTCTACCCTCACCTTAAAGACTTAGTCCCAGGATCCTCCCCTGCAGCCTTCCTGCCTCCTCCTCACATTCCTCTCAGATCAGCTGTCCTCAACCCTCTCTAAAACCTTATGACATCCACGCGTTGGGCATGATATACACGAGTGCCACGTTGCCTATGCCGAGGTGGGAGGACAAATTCAGGGAGTTGGTTTTCTTCTTCCACCGTATGGATCCCAGGGACTGAACTCAGGCTTCCAGGTTGGCGGCAAGAGCATTCACCCGCCCAAACTCGTGTCTTCTCCATGTACCTTAGCCTTTTTTGCTGTAACAAAATGTGCGAACGAGGCAGGTCGGGAGCATGTAGCTCATTGTTCTGGGGGCTGCAGAGTTTAAGGTCAAGCCTTGGCCGATTTGGAGGCTGCTGAAGGCCTCACAGACTGCCCATCCCTGCGTGTACCTCGCATGGGAGAGAAAGACTTTCCCAGGAACTCTCCCAGGATTATTTTTTGAGGGCACAGGCCTCCTTCATGAGAGGGCTGCACTATCATCCTCTAGCAGCTTTCCCCAGGGCCCTGTTCCTTACACCTTGAGGGTTAGGGTTTCAATATGTGAGTGGGGGAGGAGAGGGCACAAACATTCAGACTGCCTAAAGATAAAATTCCTGGCAAATTTGTTGATAGAACTTATTGGCTTTTATTCTTAATTCATGAATTCCAGCAATAAGAGCTCCCACTGAGCAATGGCAATAAGAACAGTAGAAAAAAAAAAACAAAACTGAATAGTATCAGGTCTTTTCTGTTTACTTCTCCTCATCCCCTTTCCCCCATAGGTTAAAACAAAATGAATTTCCAGTTTTCAGGAAGGAAAAAATAAAAAGGTCTGCTGTGAGATCTGTCTCTTGATGGATGTGGAAAGTATCCTCAGCTCTCACTTGCTTATGTGTCCCTTAGCCATTTTGTTTTGGTCTAGTCCATTTGGGGTCAGTGCAAGAGCTCAGTCTAAAACAATGGGCTCCCATCACAGGTGTTTGACAGACAGTTACAGAGATGCCCTTTACTGAGATGCAAACATCTCCTAGGACAGTGATGTGTCCTTTATGGAACTCAGTGGTCACTGAGGGCAGAGAGCACGTTGTGCTCATCTCTTCTCCCAGCTATTTTCGAGACATGTGAGTATGATCTGTGTACTGTTTTGAAAATGTGTCTTAGTGTGTGTGGTTGGTTACATTCACATTCACTGGAGAAGTTTCATTTCAACCCTTCTAAGCAAACCAAACAGTGCCTCTGTTTCTTCCTTAACAGTGCATCAGCAAAAGCACCGGCCCTGGAAAAATCCAGAAAGTGCCCAAAGAAAACGCTTTCCTATCAAAGGACTTGACAGTCAGTATAAGTGGAAAATTTTTTTTCTTTTTCAAAAACTGTTTTCCTAAATATTATTGAAGGAGCAGAATGGAGTGGGTGGTGGTTATGGTTTAGAGAGAATATTTTGCTCTCTACTATTACGAGGCTGCATTATTCAAACACATAGATGCTGCCCGGTATGTCAGTGGGCACTTATAACACCCACCCTAGAGGTAGGGGCAGAAGGGTCAGGAATTCAAAGGCTTATCACTTCGTGAGACCCTGTTTCAAACAAACAAACTAACAAATGAAGAAATAAAGACAAAATATATACATCAAATAATAAAATATTTTAAAGAGCTAGGGCCAGGTTTGATGGGCACATAATCCTAGCTACTAGGGAGGCTGAGGCAGGAGGATCTAGTCCACCACCAGCTTGGGATGCAGAATGAGCTCAGTGGTAGCCTGGGCAACTAAATGAAACCCTTTTTCAAAAGAAATAACAGAAAAAGGTCTGGGAGTTAACTCAGTGGAGTGCTTGCCTGCATGTGTAAGGCATCAGCCAATACCCAGCACCACACAACAGAATGAGAGTCTCAGAAGGCTAAGGGTGGAGCTGAGCTGCAGACTACCTGGTTAGCATGTTCAAGGCCCTGGAATCCCTTGCCAACATTGGGGAAGGGAATGGTAGCAAGGATAGCCATGTGATGTATACCTGTGATCCTAGCACCTGGAGATAAGAGGCAGAAGAATCGACAGTTATCCTCAGCTACATAATGACTCTGAAGCTAACCTGGGCTCCATGAGCTCCTGTCTTAGAACAGTAGGAGAAAGGAATGAGTGGAAAAGGAAAGTGAGGACACTGCAGAAGACTCTTAGTTTGGACTTCCAGGTCTTACTCTTGAGCTGTTTGTCCAACCAAAAGAAAAACAAAGCTGTCTACTCCAGAGAACAAATTCAAAGAGCCTTCAAAAATATCTCAGAGCAGAAGCTATAGCTCATTTTAAAGAGTATAGGTAAGGCCCCGGGTCCCACCTCTAGGACAGCAATGCAGACATGAATAAACTACAGGTGCTCTGTAGACACTTAGCACTAGATTGATTGACAGTCCTGTTCAGTGTGTGCACACTGGCTTTCCTTAACAGCTGTCCCAACTTTTAACTGCTATTAATGATTCCAGACAAACCTCCACTTTCCCTTTACCCTCAGCAAGATTATCTCGACCACTTGCTAACGAACCTAAGGATAGAGGCCCTGTTTGTGAAGGAGAATTTTAACATTCGCTGGGTTGCCCAAGCTGGATTTGTGGAGAACATCAACAGCATCCTCAAAGAGTACAAGCAAAGCCGAGGATTATTGGTAACTACTGCTGCTTCCTGTTTTATGCTTCTGGTGTAAAGCAAAGTCAATGGAATAAGTTCACATTTGACTTGTTTCTGCAGTCTTATAATCTGCACGTGTATTGCATTAACTTGTGAACCAAGCTGGGCAAGGTGACCCTTGCCTGTAATCCCAGCACTCCAGGAGGCAGAGGCAGGGGGATCTCTGTGAGTTTGAGGCCAGCCTGGTTTACAGATGATTATAGGCCATCAAGGACAGCAAGGCTACACAGAGAAACCCTGTCTCAAAAAACTAAAAAACAAGCAGACAAACAAATAATTTGTGAGCCAAACTTAAAACAATTATAAGTGAACGTCAATAACAACAAACTGGTCAGTCTAAACAAAAGAGTAGATTGTGATTCTGGTTTCAGTCCTGGATAAGGCCAACCTGCCCCAGGAAACAGGATTCACTCTTGGTATATGGATGAAGGTGGCATACCAACCAGCTTGGTTGATGGCTGGGCATCGTGCTGGTGACTACAAGCCCATCTAGGGATCCAGCATTGCCCTCATCCTGCCTCTGCCACTGCCAGACATATTGGTACTTCCTATCAGCCCTCGTCAGAGGGGAACAGACCTAACTCACCCCACACAGATCCACTCCAGTGTTTATGCTTGTCCCTTCACACGTGGCCTTGACTACCAAATGGTGATTGCAAAGCTCTGGGTGAAATGAATGTGATCTTTAGGTATATTTGGACACAGCCAATGAAAAATTTTGCCATCATCATGGTTCTAAAATATGACTTGCAAAATGCTAGGCCACAGTTTCACAACTCTTTGGACCATTTGTAAGAAGTGATTATCTGTTATTGATATTTTTATTTCTGTTTGATATAAATATTCACTAACTGCTTATGAATGCCATAGCATCTTCAGCATTCAGGCAACCCTTCCTTCCTTCCTTCCTTCCTTCCTTCCTTCCTTCCTTCCTTCCTTTCTTCCTTCCTTCTCTTCCTCCCTCCCTCTCATCTATCTATCTCTCTCTCTCTCTCTCTCTCTCTCTCTCTCTATCTATCTACTTTTTGGTTTTTCTGAGACAAGGTTTCTCAGTGTAAACTTGGCTGTCCTGGAATCACTCTGTAGACCAGGCTGGCCTCAAACACAGAGATCTGCCTGTCTTTCCCTGCCTCTGCCTCCCTGAATCTTGGTATTACAGGCCTGTACCACCAGGCTTGGCTTTATTTTGTTTTTAAAACAAGAGCTTGTGCTATAGCCCAGGCAGTCTTGAACTCTAACCTCTTCAAACAGGAAAAAGTAGTGTTTTTAATAAAATGATCATGAGGCAGAAGCAAGATGTTCAGAACTTTCAGGCCAGCCTGGGTTACATAGCAAGACCTTGTCTGAAATAAATAGATGATAGATAGATAGATAGATAGATAGATAGATAGATAGATAGATTTTTTAATCAAAATAAATTAACTTTAAACTATTAAAGACCACCAGGAGCAGTGGCCCACACCTGTAATCCCAGCACTCTGGGAGGCAGAGGCAGGCATTTCTCTGTGAGTTTGAGGCCAGCCTGGTCTACAAAGCAATCTCAGGAAAGCCAAGGCAACAGAGAAACCCTGTCTCGAAAAACAAAAACAAAAAAACTATTGAAGACCAAGTTCAGTCCAAAGACACCTAATGTGGGGCCCTGTACACTGGGCCATAAATTCTTGTGTCTTCATAAGAATAGTCCAGAGTGAAACTGGGTGGCCTGGATGCCTCTAGGTATTCCTGGGCACATGTTTTCTCTCTCTCTCTCTCTCTCTCTCTCTCTCTCTCTCTCTCTCTCATTTGTTTTTAGACAGGGCCTTACATAATGTACCCTGGCTTCTCACTCACTATTTAGTTGAGCCTGGCCTTGATTCTTGATCCTCCTAACTCTACCTTCCAAGAATTGAAACTACTATGATGTACCACCATATGAGTATTCTGGACATGGCTTGTTGAGCGCTTTGTTCCCCTGGCCCAGGTCAGAGCATTGATGCTATTAAATTCTTACGTAATAAATGACTCTGAGCTACCTAAATAGGGAAGACACTTTTGGGATGATAGGGCATTAATCACAGTTGCAGGGTGTCTTAGTTTAAGTTTCTATTGCTGTGAAGAGGCACCATGCCCATGGAACTCCTATAAAGGAAAACATTTAACTGGGGCTGGCTTACAGTTTCAGAGGTGGCAGAGAACATGGCAGGCAGGCAGGCAGGCAGATACAGTGCTGGAGAAGGAGTGGAGAGTTTTATAGCTTGATCTACAGCAGAAGAAAGAGACTGTGTGCCACACTGGGCATAGCTTGAGACCTCAAGGCCCATCTCCACAGTGACACACTTCCTCCAATAAGGCCACACCTCCTAATAGCTGCCACTCCCTGTGGGCCAACATTCAAACACATGAGCCTATGGAGGCCAGTCCTAGTCAAACCATCACTCATGGAGTGGAGGCAGAAAGTCTGCAGTCTGGTTAAGTTGCTGAAGACGGACTATAGGGTTCAGAGACCTTGAAAAGAACACAGTCCTGAAGTAGCACCCTTCTAGCTCCAGAGCCCTAACAGATAGATTCTCTGTTCTCTTTCAGCCCATCAAGATCTGCATTCTCGGTCCCCCTGCAGTGGGAAAGTCAAGCATCGCTGAAGAGCTGGCCAAGCACTACAAACTGCATCACATTAAAATGAAGAGTTTGATTGCTGAAGCCATAGCCAAGCTGGTAACACAATTACCTACTTTATTGAGATCTTCTCACTTCACCAAATGCATTCCTGAGTCTGGCAATAAGCAAGTGACTAATTCAGAATGTCAAATATATTTGTTATTTTAATTAGATTTTGTTGCTGGTCCCAGGTATGAAAATGGAGGACCCTGCAGGGATCCCTGTCCTCTGTGAGAGGGAGGCAGTCCCAGGACTATCCTTGGAGTTCTGCCTCCAGTCTCTTTCCAAGTACATATCATCATCTCTCTGTTGGCTGGAACATTTTTAGTTTTGTTGTATTTATCTATTTATCTATTTATCTATTTATCCATTTATTTATTTATTTATTTATTTATTTATTTATTTATTTATTTATTTATCAATCAAGACAGGATTTCTGTGTGTAGCCCTGGCTGTCCTGGACTCACTTTGTAGACCAGGCTGGCCTTGAACTCACAGAGATCCACCTGCCTCTGTCTCCTGAGTGCTAAGATTACAGAGGTGTTATTGTATTTTTTTTTTTTTTAGTCAAGTATCAGACTACTTACTGTTTGTTTTTTTAAATAATTTTGTTAGAAATGGTTAAAACACCAAGCTTTGCTTCTATAAATAGTTATGGAAATTAGGGGGTGTTAGGGATCAAACCCAGGAGTTTGCACACACTAAGCATCGTACTGCTGAGCTACACCCCAGTCTAAAAATCTCAATTTTTTATAAAATGTGTTTCCTTCAAGTAAGGTACAAACTAGGCGCTGGGGAGATAGCTCAGCAGTTAAGAACACTTGCTTATAATGGGTATTAGTGAGATGCTGCCTCAAATAACAAATAAAAAAGAAAGAAAGAAAAGGTAAAATAAATCTTAAAAAAAAAAAAGACACAGTGTAGTGCCTTAGGGAATTGCTGCCTCCTACGCAGGGGTAGTTAGCACAGAATGTCCTACTATTCTCCTAAAGTATAGCTAAGGGAACCTTATGGCCCTATCCATCTCAGTAGATGCACACATCCTGCAGACTTTTGCGTGATGTCCACTACTGGGTACATTCCCAACCTAGGCTTTTTCCAGGCTTACTAGCCAGATGCTTAGCGGCGCACTCATCACTGTCAGGCACGGTCAATATGATTACCCTTGTGGCATGCAGGAGGCGATCGTTGCACCCAAGGAGACAGGGGAATTAGAAGAGGAAGTTGAAGAAGAGGAAGAGGAGGAGAATGTGGAGGATGCCCAGGAGCTCCTGGACGGCATCAAGGAAAGCATGGAGCAGAATGCAGGTGACACACAGAGAGCCAGTGGGGCAAGAGCGGTGCCAGGCTGATGCAGCTTGGCAGGCACCTTGCTTGGCTTCCAGTCTGTTTATAAAATGCTGCCTGTGGGCTAGAAAGATGGCTCACTGGTCAAGAGCCTTGCCTGCTTCTCCAGAAGACCCAGTTTGGTCCCCAGCACTCACACACAAGTGTCACCACCTATAACTCCAGTTCCAGGGCATCTGATAACTTCTGGACTTCACAGGTACTGGCCCGCACATGCACAAATTCACACTCATACACACACATCTACATAAAAAATAAAAGAGACTCTTTCGTTAAAGCTGCCTGTGCTGTAGAACATATAATAACAACAAGATATTTAATTCATTATCTCATCTCCCAGAAATACACTTTGGTGTGACTCTCGATAATTTGATAATTTCCTAATTAAAAAAAAAAAAAAATCAGGAATTGGCAGTGCAGCTCTGTGATGGAGAACTTCTCAGTGTTTGTAAGGCCATTGGTGTGAACTCCAGCCTCCCCAAGCACTGTCCTTCTTTAACATAGTGATTCTAGAATCGCAAACAAAGCAGTCTGCAAACTAGTGCAGTGTGTGGGAACCCCCCCCCCTCCCCGGGCAGGCTTTCCAGTGGCTTTCTTGTCTTTTTCTTCCTCACTCTGCTCTTGCTGGATGACGTGACATGTCTAGCTGTTTAAAGTTTGTGCCACTTTGGTTTCCCTGCAGTTCATGACCCAGAAGCCTGTAATTGTGAGCCCAAATAAGCCATTTTCCCCTAACTTGCCTTTGCCAGGATATTTGATCACAGCAGCAGAAATGAAACCATGACATCAAGTTTGTTCAAAAGTTCCTCTTGTCTGTGTTTATTTGAACCAAGAACTTGAACCTTGAGTGTGTTTGAACAAAACAAGACCTTTGAACCCTCTGTGGGGACAGGTGTCCAGGACGCCTGGGGAGCTCACTTTTCCCTCACATGACCCCTCGCAGGTGCAGTGTCTCCGGCAGCACCAGTTTCTCAGCCCCACAGGGAGGCAGGTACCTCAAGGCCCTGGTCGTATCTTCCACCCCATCTGCCCCTCAGCCAGAGGGCCTTGGCTAATGACTCTTGTGCTCACTAGTCTTATCTATGTCAAGAGAGCTGAGTCTGGTTGGTGGAGTTTATCTGGGAGTTTTAAACGAAAAAAAAATGGACAAATGTTCACACTTGTTTCCACTTTGATTCTTCCCTGTGCACAGGATACTGGAGAATCTTGGCCGGCAACTACTTTTAAACCCTTTTAGTAATTATAAATGTGGGTTAATAGTAACATTTTAATTACTAATATCAAAAAAGATAGACCAAAAGTTAAAAAGAAGAAAACCAGGGTAGTAATTTAAAAGCTCTGTCCAATTGGGTTTCACTCCGTCATTTTAAAGTACACAAGTCCAGCTATTATAAAAAGCAGTATAGGAATCCCTGACACAGTGAAAAATAGATGGGCAGGCGTCGTAGCTCACAGCTGTAATCCCAGCACTGGGGAGGCTGAAGAAGGAGAATCACGAGTTTCCAGGGCAGCTGGGCTTAGTAAAGAGACCCTTAGTAAAGAGACATGTTTTTGTCTCCAAAAACAAAAGGGGCTGGAGAGGGTGTGGGGTAGGAAGATAGCTCAGTTGCTACAAATGCCTGCCGACAAACACAAGGACCAGAACTCAGATGCCTGGCACATATCTATAACCCAACACTGGGGACAGGGGCTGCTGAGAGGTGGATCCCTAGAGCAGACTGGCCAGCCAGTCTACCCAAATTAGGGACCTCCAGGTTCAGTGAGAGACCCTGTCTTGAAATATACGGTGGCAAACGGGATGTGGTGGGACATGCCTCTAATCCCAGCAGCCCAGAGGCAGAGGCAGGTGGCTTTCTGAGTTGGAGGCGAGCCTGATCTTTACAGTGAGTTCAAAGACAACCAGGGCTATGTAGAGAGCTCTTGTCCTGAAAAGTAAAAATAAGGTGGAGGGGATGGAGAGATGGCTCAACAGATGAAAGTATCTGTTGTTGCAGAGGACCTGGGTTTGATTCTCAGCACCCACATGGTGGCTCCCAACCATCCATAACTCCAGTTCCAGGGGATCGGATGCTCTCTTCTGACCTTCTTGGGCACCAAGTATGCACTTGATACATAGACATACATGTAAGCAAAGTACTCTCATAACATAAAATAAATAAATAAATATAAAAGTATTTTTAAATTAGAAGTTAGATGGAGAGTAACTGAGGAAATACATGGACACGTGTGCTTGTGTACATGCGTTCTCTCTCCCTCTCTCCTTCCCTTCTTTTCTCTCCTCTCTCTCTCATAAACACACACACTGGAATCTTATTCTATCTTTAAAAAAGAATTTGCCTATCATAGTGGCACGCTCCAATTATAAGTACTCAGAGAGGGAGGCAGAGGCAGGAGGAGCTCTGTGAGTTCAAGGCCAGCTTGGTCTACAAAGCAAGTCCAGGAGAGCCAGGGCTACACAGAGAAACAAACAAACAAACCAGACAGGTAGATGAAGATCTCAGCTAGATATCTATAACTTTAGTCCTGGGGGGTCAAGAGTGGAGACAGGAGGATGGCTGGGGCTTGCTGGCCACCAGGCTTGCTCCAGATTTAGTGAGAGACCCTGTCTCAAGGGACTAGGGTGGAGAATGACAGAGCAGGACCCCCAATATCTTCATCTGGACCCTGGGTACAAAGATACACTCAGCAATGCACATATGTTCCCCCCACATTTACATATGCACACACATGTCCTCATACCCACCAAATGGAAAGAAATTAATAGACCCTCTATAAAACGAAAACCAACTGCTTAAATAATGTCTGTGTCCAAATATTAGTTTTTGAAGTTTGGATTTAATTCTTTACTTATTTCTTTGTATCGCTGCAAACCTTATAGGAAAGTGGTGTGGAATCGTTGGAAAGAATTTACTTATACTAAGCAATACCCTTGACCTTTTCTGTTTGTTTCAGTGTCATAGTTCAGTTTCTAAAAGACAAGACTTTCTGGATCTTTACTACCTGGTGACCCGTGTGACACTGAAAAGTAGAAGAGAGGAGAGTGTTTGGTTTGCCTTATTTTTACATGTTTTGTTTGTTTGTTTCTTTTGAGGCAGACTCTCAGGTAGCCAAAGCTGGTCTCAAACTGGCTATATAGTGAAAGGTGACCTTGAACTCCTGATCCTCCTTCTCTTTGCTCCTAAATGCCAGGATTGCAGGTGCGTGTCACCATGCCCTGTGTGTGATGCTGGGAGATGGAACCTGGATTTCAGTGTGTGCTGGGAAGACCCTCTATCAAATGGACTATAGCCTCATTCCTATTTAGATTTTTTTTGCAATGTTGCTTTTGATATATGTGTGTGTGTATGTATGTATATATGTATGTATATATGTGTGTATGTATTCCAGGCTGGCCTGGAACACATTATGTTGCCTGGATTGGACTCAAACTCATTATTCTCCAGTCTCAGCCTCCTCGCACTCCCAGGCCTGCCTGTGCCACCACACCCAGCTTGGGAGGTATTTTAATGAGATTATTTTATTGTCATTAGTAAAATGACAACAAGCGGCCTCAAACTATTTATTTTACATCACAGGCTCCCTGATAAGCTGAAGGTGCAATATGTACCCTGGGCAAGTCTTGGGAGCTGTCAAGACTTAAACTGCTGTGGGTCCTCATCAAGAAGTGTATGGATAGGCTGTGCCTGAGTGTGACCATAGCTGGGGAGTGGGAGCTGATCTGCAGCACACTGTAGAGCAGACTGAGCGGGTTCCAGGGACTCTGGTTGGGGCTTCAAGGGTCAGAAATGTGACCTGGGGAAGAAAGTGTGGGGACTGGGGTGAGCACATTCTGACTGCAGCTTCATTTTTCTTTAAATACTAATTCTGTTAATTATTATTTAGGGTGCTGGGAATAAATCCAGGGCCTCCCTCACTTATGCCTGGAGGGTGCCTGAGCCTCTAAGCCCAGGCCTCAGCCCTTTTCTGAAACTTTTGAAATTAAGCTTGAGCTGGGCCTGGGTGTGCCTGCCTGTAATCCCAGCACTCTGGGAGGCAGAGGCAGGCAGATCTCTGTAAATTCAAGGTCAGCCTGGTTGACAAAGTCCAGGACAGCCAAGGCTACACAGAGAAACCCTGTCTCAAAAAACAAATGTCATCTTGATTTGCTGTTCAGCAAATAGTTATTGATCACCTACTTTTGTTGGGGAGGGGCTAGGATGGGGGTGTAAAACCCAAGGTCTTGACCATGCTAAACACATGCTCTACCACTGAGTTACATGTGAGTTGTAGCCTAAGCATGTGCCTTCAAAAAATCATGAGCTAGCAAAATAGTCAAATACTGACTCATCAGCTCCCACAACAAAAGTATTTGTTACTGTGCATTAAGGTGTGATTTGAAAACAGAACTGAGAGGCAGTGAGAAGACTCACGGAGTAAAGGCAGCTACTGCCAAGATGACAGTCCCATCTCCTCTAGGACCCACTTGGTGGCAGGAGAGAACTGACTCTTATAAATTGTCCTCTGACCTCAACGTGTACCCGAAGGCACATGTGTACCCACATACATACCTAATAAATAAAAACGTAAAAAACAAAGAATGATAATAAAAAGAAGGGGATCTGGAGAGATGGCTCAGCATTTCAGGGTATGTGCTTCCCTTGAAGAGGTTTGCAGTGCATTAGGAAGCTTACAAGCACTAAACTCCAGCTCCAGGGGAACCATCACCTTGTCCTGGCATCAAAAGACACCGGTGTACATGTGTTAGACACAGACACATACACACACACACACACATGCATACAGGAATACATGCAAGCACACACAAACACACACAAGCACATCAATTAAAAATAAAAAGTAAGCAGGCATGGTGGTGCATATCTTTAATCCCGGCACTGGGGAAGCACAGGCAGGTGGATCTCTGAGTTCCAGGACAGCCAGAGTGGTGGTTACACAGAGAAACCCTGTCTCAAAAAAAAAAAGAAAAGCAGAGGAAATGCTTGAAGCAGGCCGGACCTGACGCTACAAGACTTTATGTTAGTCCACTTGGCCCTTGCTCAGCTTCACGCATAGCTGTATCACAGGTTTCCCGAGTCCCGGGGGCACCACACGCTCCCGCTCTTTCTTGTAGCCCAGCTCACCGCTGCTTTACATAGTTGCTTTACATGCAACATGCCATGCTCAAAAATGAACAACAGCAGGGTTTGTTTTGAACTTTAAGGGCAGAAGAAAGAGTCTGTAATCATGTTTTGGCCTACACAGCAGTTTCCAGAGTTCAGGGCACCCTCACCCTTGCGTGAAGCATGTGTGTCGCAGTAACCTATATATGTATGTATTTTTTAAAAATCAGGTCGCCTAGAAGACCAATACATAATCCGGTTTGTGAAAGAAAAGCTCAAATCCATGCCTTGTAAGAACCAAGGCTACATTTTGGATGGATTCCCAAAGACCTATGATCAAGCGAAAGACCTATTCAACCGTGAGTGTGGGCTCTGTCCTGTGTGTTTATCCGCTTTCAAGTTGGAACCTTATGATTTTGTTTGTTTTCTTATAGCTGTGTTTTTAATGTTTTTTATTTGTTTTTGTAATCTTATTGTCTGTAGAAATATTTGTCCACTTAAACAAAAGTTTGGAGAGACTTATTCCCAACTCTTTCTTGCCTTACCTTTTCAGAAGCTCAGGCTGACTTTGAAGCTGTTCACTCATTCACTATCTAGCAGTGAGTAGCCTTGAACTCCCCCTAACCTCCTGCCTCTGCCTCCAAGTGCTAGGATCACTGCCCTTGCTGCCAAGCCCAGAGTGGCTTGTGTCACTAGGTGCACATCCTCTGATTCTCTGAGTTGTTGTTGTATTTAATTTATCGCGTTTGTTTACTGTGGAGACGGTTTTTGAGGTGATCATGCCATGGCATGCATGTGGAAGTCAGAGAACGGCCTGCAGGAGTAGGTTTTCTCTTCCCATCAAGTAAGTTCTGGGGACTGAATTTGGGAAGTGGAGCTTAGCAGCAAGCTCCTTTACCTGCAGAGCCATCTCTGTAACTCCTTGTATTTTGTTTTATTGTAGCACAAACACTGACCCACAAGACCTACCCTCTTAGCTGGGCATGTTGGCACACAGCTTTAATCCCAGCACTCAGGAGGCAGAGGCAGGTGGATCTCTGAGTTTGAGGCCAGCCTGGTGCTCTACAGAGTAAGCTTTAGGTTACATAGAGAAACCCTGTCTTGAAACCCACCCACCATCTCAAAAAAAAAAAAAATCTACACTTTAAAAAAAAAAACATTTTATTGATTCTTTGTGAGTTTCACATCATGCACCCCAGTCCCATTCATCTTCTCATCCCTCATATCTGTCCTTTACCTTTGCAACCTCTCCCCCCAATAAAACACAGATACACACACACACACACACACACACACACACACACACACACACACACA